TTGTGTAAGCATATTCAGCCTTCTGAGAATGGAATGGAGTGTTCGATTCAATTCAACACACATTGATTAAGCACCTACTGTGTACAGCACACTGTTTTAGGTCTTCTTGGAGATACAAAGTTTTGAAAAAAAGAACTCTCCATACACAGAGAGCTTATACTCTAGCAGTAGATAAAACACAAACACAAATAGTCAGTAATATATGTTAATGCAGAACTAAAGTAATAAATCTTAGGTGCACTAAAGCAGTATAGAACATACATTGTGAAGTCCAAGGTAGGAAAAACATATTTGTGATTGTGAAAAATCAAGGGAAGCTTCATGGAGGAAATTGCATTCCTCAGCATAGTGCCTGGAGCATAGTAGGGACTTAGTAAATATTTATTGATTGCTTGATTGATGAAGTGATAATGTTTTAAGCAAGGAGAAATTCATGATCAAAGAAATGCAAGGAAGTTAAGAGTAACCCATAGGATCTTTTCACTTGACAAAAGATAATCACGTTTAGTTAAGGAATCAAGTAATAATGACTCACTTTTACATAGCACTTTGAGGTTTCAAAAACACTTTCCTCACAATCCCATTAAATAGATAATATGTTTTACAGATAAAGAAACTGAAGCAGAGTTGAGATTTGACCTCAATCACACAATTAGCAGGTATCAAAAGTGAGTTCAAAACCAGACCTGCAGCCTGGCTCCAAGCACAAGGCACCATCACATTAAACAATGCTGCTGCTGCTCCATAGAGTAATGGAAAGTCGGACAAAATAAAGCTGTAAAGCGGTGTGTAACTAGATTATGGGCAGTACTGAATGTCAGACGAGAAGTATGAACTTAATTCAATATGCAGTAAGGATTTCCAGAAGGTTTTTGCTCAATTAACTCTTTCAACCCATACATATGCTGTTGGTCTCTTTGTGACCCCATTTGGAGCTTTCTTGGCAAAGTGGTTTACTATTTCCTTCTCTAGCTCATTTTACAGGGGAGGAAATTGAGGCAAACAGAGTTAAATGACTTGCCCAGGGGTCACACAGTTAGCAAGTGGCTGAGACCAGATTTGAACTCAGGAAGATGAGTCTTCCCAATTCCAGGCCCATCACTCTATCTGCCAACTGACTGCCCTACACAATCTATACTTATTTGTCAACTGAGGGTAGGGGGATTGTGGTTAATCAGTGAATAGTGATAGATATGCAAAAAAGAGCAATAAAATATTTTAAATGCACATAAGTAAGCAAACAAGTACAGAAGGGGAAACAAACAACTGTAGCAGCTTTGTTATTACTCTGTTAAATTATTTAGAATATATGTACACATATGTGTGTGTACTTCTTTAAAAAAAATAGAAAATAGTTTCTAGTTTCTTCTTATACAAGCCTCTTCCCTTTTCATTTGTATTTTGATTTGTATTTATTCGTATTTTATTTGCATTTCCTTTCATTTGTATTTTGAAATCATTATTTTTGTTGATGATTGTCAAGTTTACAATAAAAAGGAATGTTGTTTTTGCTTTTTTTTTTTTAAGTCTGGCAGTATATTGTGTTAAGACAGTGAAGGTGGCCATGGAATGTACTTCACTGTTGACATTTAACTATAGAATAGCCAGCCATTTGCGTGGAGCCTACATTGTATCTACTGAAGCAAAGTAAATGACCTTTGACCCTCTCATTCTATGCAGGTTATCACTTACTATTTTCAATATATATTTAACCCTAAATAATTACCTTTGTCAAAATTCTTATGCATTGTACAGTTTGCTTGAGATCGATGGTGGGCCCTTGCTGAATTCCTTGCTGGATAATTACCATTGGAAAGGAAAATGAGGATGAGGTTTGGTGTCAGGATAATAAGAAAAAAAATCTATCAGGTTTTTGTTCTATTAAGGAAATGATCAATTTATGTCAAACTGACTTTGCTAGCAAATACTTTGAGCTCCAAACATACATTTAAAAAAAATACTCATGATTCTCTATTAGCACCTTAAAATAAATCATTATTATCCCATTTCCATCTGTGTCTGTGTGTTCCCTAATTATTTCTTTGACAGAAAGACAGACTCAGTGGCTCAGGCACTCACTCAGTTGGGCTAGCATTTTTTGTTGCACTATTTGAATTCCTCGTTTTGCATCATTCATTGATAAGACAATAATATAACCGTGCAATTACAAACATGATTTGCTCCTCTCGGCATTCAACACCCAGTGCCATATGTGTCCACAACTGTTAGAAGCAAGAATGATCAATTGATACTGAAGCTCTAACACTGATTGCTAGCAATAAAAGTATTCCCTGGATGGGCAGCTATAATAAAAACAGGCTACCATTCAGGGTCCATCTCGCTAGCACTTTTAGAGATAATTGCTGCATCTGTTTCTTGAAGTAGCTAGAAACTAATACAAGCCTTGCTTCTATTGCTGTCAATGGCAAGAGGCGCTGGGTAAAGGATTTTGAACACAGCTATACAGGAGTGCACCAACAGGTCAGAAGTGAAGCAGAAACAGCTGCTTTCTCAATAGACTCATCAGAGTCTCTCCATGCTCACTGCACTTGTCCACTAGCTGCCAGGCATGTGGGCTATAGTGTTATTTTTGTGCTGTGGGAACTTCACTCTTAAAAACAAATGCGCTAGCTTAACTATTAAGTGTCAATCAAATCTGTTGTGGAAAGGGGAGAAAGATTTGAAAAATTTAATGAGGCTTTTAATTTTAATTTAATTTTTTTTTTACTCTGTGATCACTCTTGTCTGCCAGGTTCAATTTACTTCATTCAAGTCAATGGAATTCCAAATACATTTTATCAAAGTGCTTTTTTGTCCTTTTCTTTTCGGTACATTATAATAGCACTAGCAACAATCTCTGATCTTGGGTGTAGATTTACAGTCTTCTGGCAACTATGTACGTGCACATATTGATACCTGTGAGAATCCATTTTACTGTATTCATAGATCCTGCATAAGGACTACTTGTCAGAGAATTTCAACAAAGCTAAGCACTTTGTTTCCCCCATTTGCTCTGTGACGGATTCATTAAAGAGTTTTAACTTAGAAAAAAAAGGAAGAGGAAAAAACAGAGAAATAATATGATCCCTTTCTTTCTCTCCTTTTTCTTTCCTCCACAAAATTTGCTGCAAAAAATAGAAAATGTCAGAGAGAAAATGATTTCTTAGGGCCTGCATTCATATTTGTCTCTGTAAACTAATGCAAAGCACAACAGAGATGGGCTCTGATGGTTGGAACTCAAAACAACTCTAAGATTTCTAGCTAACCATGGAACCTATTTCACATTTCATTGGTTATGTGAATGAGCTGTGAAAATACTTTCCTGTTTCTCTAAAGTATCAGGACATAGGTTTATAAAGCAGTCATTCTCACTGATTGCCAGATATAAAACTGATCAGCAGAGCTAATTTCAAAGTGGTGAGCCCAGCATGTCATCATAAGTTCTCACAAAAAGCTCTCAGTCGTTATCAACACAAACTCCTAAATCATTGGTATAAAACATCTACCTCTTGTTTACAAAATACAGTCTATATAAAGAAAAGAGAAAAAAAAACAGGAAAACAAGCTTTCCCAGCACTGTCAGATAAGTGCAAAGTTGGCTTTTACAAATTGGAAGGAAGCTGTTCTCAGTGTGTCGGGAAATTTGCACAAGGACAATCTATTTTAGTATGAAAATATAGACCATAGATATCCAAAGCAAATTAAAATAATACTTGCAGCCTGACATATCTGCAAAATCCAAATGGCAAGGGCGAAAGAGATCATTTTTCTCTTTCATGCATTTTAGCTCATTATTTCAAAGAACCCCAGTAGGTAATGAAGTTAGAAGCTTGATAACAGTCCATCAGTGAAAAGAAAGAAAAAGATACAGTGTAAGACAGCCTGTCTAGAGAAGCTTTGCCCATAAATACGGGCAAAAGAGAACAGAGAATAGGAGTACGTAGGAAAGATACTTTTTTTGCTATCCTGAACATCATTGTTTCCCCAAAGGGACAGTTATGTTAGGAGAACTCCTAACAGGTCAGTTGCAAGATGTGACAGTTCATTCTAATTGCTACCCTCTCAGAAGGGAAATTCCTCCGTATTCCTGCATTCCCTGCTATATTGCAGTTTCTTACTCAAAGGATTTCCTAAATATATTTTAGAATTTTAATGAGGTTATTTAAGTACTTCTTACAATTCCAGTATTAATCAAAATAGTACCTAATGGAATCTAAAAGTCAATCAAATAATTGATTTTATTTAGCTCAATGAATTGAGCTTAATAAAACATTTATTAAACCAAAGCTCTGTTTTATGTATGTAGAGATATGTCTTAAACATTTACTATTGATAGAAGAGTAATTTTACAAAGGTTCTAAAAAGGAAATTAAAGGGTATGAAATGTTCACAAAATAATAGGATCACTGCCTCAGAGGTAGAAGCAATCTCAGAGGGTATCTAGACCGTCTTCACTTTATAGATGAGGAAACAGGGAAGTTAAGTGGCCTTCTCAAGGTCATGGAGTAGTAAGAAGTACTAAGTGACAAAGATAGAATCTAAGCCCATGTTCGTTGACTATTCTTTTTAGGCATAGTCAGTATTGCTTTATTTCTGTGTCAAACCACAATGTGGGCAAGTCAATGTTTCTGCCCATGCACACAGTCCCCAAATCCCAAGACTTTCAGTAATCCACTCTAGCCTACGGAAGAAAAAATATCTGAACTTTTGAATCATGAAAAAGCATGGGGAGGGGAACAAATATGCTTCTGCATACCTAAAGATTTTTTTTTAATGCTGACTTTAACATATATAGCATCTTTTCTTACCTTGCCTCAATAAATGTTCGATATAACACATAATTATTACAGAAGGTAATACATGTAAATGAAATGAAGAATAAGCAGAGAAGTTATATACAGTTCTCCAAAACTGGAATTTCAAACTGTGCCCCCTCTGAACAATTATCGGAACAGCTACAGCATCAAGGCAGGCTCAAACAAAAGAAAACCATACCAGAAAACATTCCCTTTTCTGAACTCACAGGCAGTTTACTTTCTTCAAATATTTATGCTTCCTTTTGCCAAGACATTGTTTTGGAAAAGGGTCTTCTGTAAAAGGCAACCATTGGTAGAAGACTGAAGAATCTAATGACAGCTTTCAACGTTCACCCACACCATGCATCGCTGCTACTAATGGTGAGTCACACCTCTTTTTTCTCTTTCTCTTTCTACTATAATCTAAGTATGTCATACTGATGAATCCTTCCTCAAACCTCAAAGGAAAAAACTCACTGGTAATACCAAAATATGCACTTTCCAACTCCCAAACAATTACTTTGCTGTTTCTTATAGTTTTTTTTTCCTTTCTCAGTCTCCACCCACCACCTCATAACGCTCTACCTTGATTTCCTTCTATTTTTCATCCTGACACACACACAAATGATGGCTAATATCCTTTCTAGAAATTGACTCCCAGTTACATTTCTCTTCAGGTAATAGCTTGGAGTAGGCAGGCCCGGGACCATAAAAATACAATCTTTAATCTTAAGGACTTCCTGTTCAGGAAGGAGTAAGTGCAGACCACATGGCACCAAGAGAACAATGTGACCTGCAATGACTTTTAGTGTGAATAAACAACCCTGATTAAGAGTTACATTCTGCTAGAAAGATTCTCAATGTTTCTGAAAGGAAAACAGTCATCTTGCTTAAACTGAAATTTCAGTTCATTTCCACTGGAATCAAGTGAAGCTTGTTCACTGTGTGAATACAGCAGAGTGTTGAATTTCCTTTCCTGGGTTAGAGAAACACAATATCACTGTCACTAGTGACCACAAAAAAAAAATGTGTTATACCTGGGTCCAGCTGCTACTTTTCCTTACATCTTCTGTGTTCTGCATTTGCCTGGTTACTTTCTTTTATTATTATTATTTTGGTAATATTCTTAAATCTTTTCTTTAGGCCACAACAGAATGGTTTCTGGTCTATGACCCTGGTCATATATCTATGAATGACTGCATTTTATCATATACTTTGGAAATCTGCCAATTTAGGGACTTCCTAGTCTGGTTTTTTTTTTCCTCTCTCTCTAGCTCCTCAGGCTCCTCCTCACCTCTTTTCCTTTGCTTCTCAAAGAGAAACAAATATTTTTTTTTCTGAAAACAATAGGCTTTAAATTACCGTGGGAATCAAAAATCGGCATTTCTTTTTTGTAAATCTGATTTTCCATTTCCTAGTAGTTCAGCTTTTTCTGGAACCCCAACACATATCCCTCTATGGGAAATGTTTATTTGCACTCAAGGAAATACCTCCCATTCTGCAGGTAGCTCTTCTTTATGTAGAGAAATACTGAAGCAGAATTGTAGGAGAGAAGTATGAGGAATAACTAGATAAACACTGACTCCTCCTTCTGAGAAAAAAGACTTGTGGCCCTCAGGCCAATGAAGTACATCTAAATGCCAATTTGCTGTTTTTCGGTCAGAACTCATAGGCTCAGGATATTTTACTTCTTGAACAAAAAAAAAAGTGGGAGCCTTTAAAATAAAGCAGGATAACTTAATAGTGATTTATTTAGAATTTGTGAAGAAATTAAAAGTTATTTTATGTGTCGAGGACCCCCTTTTGCAGCCTGGTGATGACTATGGGCCCTTTATCATAATAATGTTTTAAAATGTACAAAATAAAATACATGGAATGACATGAGACCGATTGTATGAAAATGCAGCTAGCAGAATATTTTTCAGAGTTTACAGACTCCAGTTTAAGAAGCCTTGTAGTTTAAGATATTGATTTTTCTGTGTTAATAATATTAATTATTAAGTAACTGATGCTGGTTTATAAGAATATCAATGTTTCAGTGGAGCCCTTATCTTACCAATATGGTCATTCCCTCAATTGGTACAAATCATAGCCAGCCCATACTTGCCCATCCGGTGTGATTCTAGTCCATGTTCTCCCATAAATCCTCTATGAGAATCTACCCAATGTGCTGAAAACTTTGCCTTACCATTTCTTAATAGTCTGCAGTATACGTGGCACACTCAGGTTGTGCATCTGCTATCTCTTCATTTTGTTGCAGACACATCCTACCTTCTTTTCAGATCAAACATTTCCTGGGTTTTGGGGGGGTCTTTTCTTGAATTCAAGTCATTTGGTATCTCTACACCCACCATTTCCCTTTTGTTCAATCAGTTCTGATTCTTCAGAGATGGCACAGGGAACAGAGTTCTAGACTTACAATCAGGAAGATCTGCATTAGAATCCACTGTCAGAAATTAACTAGATGTATTGTCCTAAGCAAATCACTTCATCTCTCTTGGTCTCAATTTTCTCATCTACGAAATGGGGATAATAATAGTACTTACCTCATATGGTTACTTTAAGGCTAAACTGAAAGTGCTCTGCAAACCTTAAAGTACTACATAATATTTAGCTATTATCCTAATTCCATGATTTGCAGTCACAGTAGAATCAGGAAAGAATATTAGTTTTAAAATGATGGTTTTCTGTGTCAGAATGTTAAAGATTTTAGGAAGCAATCAATGGTATTTATATTCTTATATACTAGCCTCCTATCTTTAAAAATAAGTATTTTTAATACTTAAATATTTTTATTTCTTTAACATTTTTAATTTGGCATTCTATTAGGAGAAGGTTTCTGTTCTTTCATAATCAGTCTTCAGGTTCCCAAATAAACATAATAATCTGAAGTCAATGACAAAAGACTTCCTGGCTATTTTAGCTAAGGGTAGACTCCATATTCTGGTTCCTGACCAATGAGCCTGACCTGGAACCATCCTGTCATTATGACAAATTGTATGTCTAATTTATATTTGGAACAGATGGAAGTCTATAACAGATTCAAAAATAAAAATGTTTACCCACCATAAAGAAAATTGTTTCCCTGTCAATGAGCCTTGCTGGTTTTTAAAGAAATTCTAGAATAGCATATCTTCAATGACTGTAAAGCAATCTAATAACATATTATATGTTTAAAGTATAATATTAGTTGGATTGAATCTAAATGAATTGGCCAGATATCTTAAGAAAAAACCAAAAAAAATGATTAAAAAAAATCTTAAACTAGCTAGTTTCTTGGGAAATGTATTTGTGAAAGAGCCCATTCCCACATGCTTCTGTTTTCTAAGACTAGTGATTTCTTCAGTCATCTTTGAGAGCTGCCTAAGCCTCTGAAAGGTCCCACAGCTAGTAAATGTCAGAGGTAGGAGTTAAACCTGGGTCTTCCAGACACAAATGCCAGCACTATCCATTATAACACATTGCCTCTCATATAACAAAGCTCTATTAATAGATAAAGTGAAGCAAGAAAGGAAAGACAGTGAACATTTCAAAAAGAAGAGAACTGCCAATCATCAAAGCTGCTGGGTGGTACAGCTGATTGAATGTCAGACCTGGAGTCAGGAAGACTCACCTTCCTGAGTTCAAATCTGGCCTCAGACACTAGCTGTCTGACTCTGAACAAGTCACTTAACCCTGCTTGCCTCACTTTCTTCATCTATACAATGAGCCAAAGAAGGAAATGCCAAACCACTCCAGTATCTGCCAAGAAAACCCCAAATGGGGCTCTTCTTGAAGAGCAGGACGTGACTGAAACGACTAACTGATAACAACACGAAAACTCCAAATTTCAAAAATTAATGCTTTTAAAATTAACACGAACTAACTAAATAAGTATGGTTCTTTTAGCCAAGGAGAAATAGGTCCCAAACACAGTTATTTAAGACACTGCTTCCCAAAAGGCAACTTCGGGTCCAGAAATGCCCTGGATACTAGGGAATGCCTTTAGACTAATCTGAATTTTTTTGTTCAACATAAAATAGACCCTATTTCCTAGATTAGTTCTATAAAAATTTGACTTCCAAGCAGTCTTTTATACCCTGAACCAATCATTCAATCAATAAGCATTTAAGTACCTAATATACCCCAGGCATGGGGGCAACAAAGACAAAAATGAAACCATCCCTGATCTGATGTCAGGTTGGTCAGAGCTGCTGAGGACCACACATTCTAGGCTTCCTCCAGGGGTGTGGAACCTATAGCCTCAAAGCCACATGTGGCCTTCTAGGTCCTTGGGTGATGCCTTTTGACTGAGTCCAAGTTTTTCAGAACCAATCTTTTTATTAGGGAGATTTGTTCTATGAAGCTTGGATTTAGTCAAAGGGTCACATTTGAGGACCTAGAGAACCATGTGTAATCTTCGGGCTGTGGGTTCCCCACCCTTGTTTGCTCTACTTTGACACCAAGAGAGGGAAATGAAGTAATGTCCCCTAAGTTTCTTTGTGTCAATATTAAGCTACCAAAAACATACAAACTGCACATTGCAAATAAATCAGTAAACTGATTTTTTTGTCTTTGAAATAACTGCATTGAGATTGCAGTTTTCATTTAATTTATAATGCCTGGCACCACATAGTAGATGCTTAATGAATGCTTATTGAATTTAATTAAATAATCCCATAGGTGATAGTTTTGTTTGTTTTTTTCAAAAGTAAGACTGTAATAAAATGTTATATCTCTACCAGTAAATACCAATTCTTTTGGCTTTCTGGGAAGCTTTCAGAGAAATGAATGGCTTCAAATAGACTTTAGATATAGAATATCCTTGTGAATACCTGGGATCCTGAATGACCTTCAACATATACTAGGTTAAAAGCCGCTGTTATCAGTTGTTTTTTAACCACTACCACCCTTCCCACTTCAAACAAAGATTTAAGATACAAAATGTCATTTTATTTAATAAACTTTTCTACTTCACACCTGAACAGTGTCCTCTGATCAAAGGAAAACATTTCCCCATTGCTGTTCTAGTTTGACCCAAGGAGTGACAGCTGAGTAAAGTCAAGGCCCCAGACACTGAGAAAAGCCAAAGGAGCCATCACTAATGGTCAGTGTTCTAGGGAATCCACTGTGAAAGTGAAATTAGCATCAGCATGCTCCAGGTCGAGACAGTCTGACTGAGGCCAGCGTTCAATAACACACGCACACTCCTTAGGATATCTATACTTAGAGAAGTGTTCTTTTATGAGGTTCATAATGTTTTGGGATTATGTATGTTGTTTTAGACCTACATTAGTCATGCTCCTGGGAAATGTGAGATTTGGTGCCAGCCCAGTTCATTTCTGAACTGCCTTGACCTAGAGTTGTTTTTTTTTTCTTTTTTATATGTTAAAATGGCACTA